AAAAAAATAATTACAAAGCAAAACCAAAAGAAGAGGAAAAAAACTAGGGAATTTGGCCAAAAAAAAAATAAAAAATAAAGATACAGTAGGTTGCTGGAGGACTGGCTAATAAAAATTTATTTTATTGAAATCACCCTTTAAAAAATATTTCATCAATAGAAAAAGAACAACTTATTAGCAAAAAATAATACATCATTCAAAAATCAATAATCACTACTAAATTGATTAGTGCTCCAAAATCAGAGAATTTCTTTCTTTTTTCTCATTCATTTATAGTCACAGAAACTTAAAACGAATATAAGCTTATTTAAAGCTGAATAACTAAAAAATAGCAAAAACAAAATCATGAGGAAAAAAGGATACAAATTATAATATACAATTCAAATATTTGATAATCAAATCACAGCCAAAGTCATTGACTAATAGTTCTCATTTAACAGCCAGTCCTCCAGCTATAATATTAGATATAGGAGAGTGTGGCATTGATCACAGGGTTTGTGCAGATCCTTAACTCTTTGAAAATGCCTTAAATTTGATTAATTTTTTTCTATTCTGCCAAGTCACAACTATGTTTGACATTTTTAAGGAGTATTCAAGCCTTTTTTTCTAAGGACTTTTCGAATGTCCTTTAAAATAAATTTCAATTGGAGAATTCATTAGACATATATACAAAATTAAAAAGGTTACACCTTGAATGCTCCTGAAAAAGCAATTGTTTAATTTTTGAGGTTCTTGCACAAACTTTGTGATAAGTAAATCAAATTGGACAAAAACAAAATTATCAAAATAGACTTCCAAAGCTATCAGGATTTCTTAATTTTTGTGACTAGCACAGGGTTCTCAGTAGGAACAAAAAGCATTTATCACTCTCAAAGATCAAAAATTACTTTATAATTTGATTATCAAAATGAATTCAAAGTTACAGAATTGAAATGTATTGCTTAAAGTCTACTGGGAACCCTTCGCTAGTTAGACACACTCTCCTATATCTAATGTTATCATTCTTTATTATTTGTACACCAGAAAAATGAAATACACTTGATACCTCCCACGAGGTCCTACCAGCACCTAACAGAAGCTGCCCCACCAGGCCAGGAAACCATAAAAGGTGGTACAACATTGCTGCTCTCGGCAGAGTCTAACCTTGAGGCCATGATCAGAGGACTGCTCTGGCGATGATGGCTGTCGGTAAGGATACCAGGTAATGGCTCTCTGCAGATTTCATGGGAGTGCGCTGATGGCGTGATTGCTGGCCACTGTGAAGGTTAGTGTGAGTAAGAGCAAAGATAATCGTATCTCACTATTCATGGGTGTGTACAGCAGTGATAACTTTGGGGTGGTGTGCTCAATAGACGTGCATAAGACACCATTCAGACTTTCATACAAGTAGACTAACAAACTGGGAAGACTAGAAGTTGAATCATTTCTAGGTGATCTAATCTTGCGTTAATGATGTTCGGCTAGACTGATACACAAGGTTCTATCATAGGATTGTAATTTAATAAGTTTTTTCACCAGCAAAACAAGACCTCAGTTTCTGTAAAATCTTAAACATTTTCTTACTTTCTTATAATAAAATAATCATATGAAAAAAGTAAACTGAAAAGAAATAAAAGAATTTCTATCTGATAATCAAAATCAATTGAAACTAAAAAAGAAAAAACAAAGAAATTCAACATACACGTAAGATGTTCTCCAACAAATTGTTTCCAACCAAGAAAAATATGAAAAACCAATATAATATAAGTACTATATAACACAAATGAAATTAGCTTGCAAATTCCTTATCTTTTTATGAAACTGAGGTCTTAACGAAACTTGTTACACTCAAAAAAAATCTCCATTACAAGGAAAGTTAATGTCAAATTAAAAAGATTGCATACAATTATTCATTCAAAAAACCCATACAAAACTACATTCAAAATTATCCAAAGCAACTACAAAACATGTATCATGATGTCAAATCAAACTGAATTTTTCTTCAAATTCCAAATTGTTTGTAACACAGACAAAGTCTGCCTGAATTTCAGTATGTTTGATTTCTTACCATAAATTATTTCCCCAAGATATAATGGGAAACACCAAAAATCCTGAAATAATGCACAAAAAGTGCTGACAAATAAATCCAAGCCAAACAAGGCAAATGGAAAATGAAAGAATAGAGGACAAGGTGAGCCATCAGTGAATGGCATTGAAATACCACACCTCAAATTAATACAAATTAATACACTTGAATGAAATGAAAATATTTATTACAAGTAAAACCAAGAGTTGTTTTACTATGAATTATAATGTCCAAAGCACTTGTATTATATGCACAAGCTGCCCAACATTAACCCAAAACTTGTAATCATTCAATTATTCTTGGCAGAAAATTAAAAACTTGTTCTGAAATTTGATGCGTTAATGGTGATACATGTAGTTGTTCATAATTTGGAAATGCAAATATTGACAGTGCAAATATTTCATCTTTTGCTGGTCATATATGACTCATTTACTTCTGTCAAGAAGTTGTTTTGCTGGTGAAAAAACTGATCTTAGAAAATAAACACAAGATAAAAATAAGACAAACATGCAGAGGTCACATCGACTATGACAAACAAGGAATAAACCTGATAGATTCTTTAGATTTCTCTAGCTATTCAAATAATATATATAAACAAATTAAGTTTTTATAGGGACGAGAATGTAACCATTGAATATCTAGACATCAACAACTCAGTTTCCCTTAGCGTAAAATTGAAAGAGTAGATTTCATATGATTCTTGACATGTTAGACAGTGTGACATGTCCTGACATTGAAATGGTTTCCATTTATTTCATTGTATCTTTTTCATCCAGTATTTATACCAATATGAAATCTACTGTTAAAATGTTTATAAACCTCTTAGCAAGCACTTGATCCTAACTAAATCATTAGGTATCTACAAATAAAAACTAGGGATTTTGCAACCAACAGTCATGTGGAAAAATATTTCATAATTATTTTCATATTATTGTTTGTCAAATACTTATTTTACTGGGAATGTTATGATCAAAATCCTTTTATGAAAAACTTTATATTGGCCTTACCTTGTGTGACTGATCTTTAGATGTGAAGTATTTTGGTAGTTCAGCATATAACACATGACTGTAGGCTGCAAAATAAAAGGCAAATTATAAACGAAAATACTCTTAGCATTTTCAATGTCAACAGAATTAAACATAGGTCTGGTAACCTCGGAGATACTGAAGTAAACATAGGTCTGGTAACCTAGGAGATACTGAAGTAAACATAGGTCTGGTAACCTAGGAGATACTGAATTAATTATAGGCCCAGTCCCCCCGCAGTTACTGAATTAATTATTGGTCTGGTAACCTAGGAGATACTGAATTAATTATCGGTCTGGTAACCTAGGAGATACTGAATTAATTATAGGCCCAGTCCCCCAGCAGTTACTGAATTAATTGTCTTTTCAATAAATTTATAATAGACTTGATTCATTCTCACGTGATGAATTCATTAATACATTAACACCTTAGGACTTTGTCTTAGCTTTTCATATTAAATTACATGGTGGTAGTTTCCTTTTCGGGAAAGACCAGCTCATTTTTCGCAAGTTAGTAGCCTAGAAACTTCGTTATTTTAGTCTTCGCAAACCAGTCTTGATAATCACATACACTTTATGGAAGTCTGAATACCGCCTTGAGTCTATTGATTACATCACTCTAACATATACGTCACTGTTGTGCAGTAAAACCTATGAGTAGTGGGGTATGGTTATTTTATAAGACTCCTACTTGCACTAATCTTTGCAGTATAAAGGCTGGCTTGCCATCAAGGTACTCTCACGAGTCTGTAGGGGGTCAGAAGTCTGATATCCCTATGGACAGTGTTCACCATCAGAGCAGCCAACTGGTTGTGGTTTCATAAGATGGCTCTTGTCGGGACAGTAAGTACTGCCTGGTCCTGGTCTACCGGGGTAGTGAGACTTGGTGCTGGTGGGACCTCGGGGTGGTTTTTTTTTTAAAAAGTCCAAAAAGGGCGTGGAGAGGGTAAAGATGGAATACATTAATAAACAAAGGAAAACCACTAAGTCCAAATCAAGACTTTATTTCAAACACAACACACAAGTAACAACATCAAACAACTTACAAGGTGAAAAAAATTCTAAGTCTTTTTTTTTTGGCAACTTACCAAAAATATCCTAAGTGCCCACTTGTGTCCGACATCTAAAAAAAATTTTCAAAGTATAAGTCAGCCAAAGTCATAAAAACCCCCACCACCCTACTTAGTCGATTCTCCCTCCCCTACCCTTAGGATAATTCCCTCCCCCCAACATATGGCTTGCCCCCTCCCCCTATATGCTGCTTATCCCCTCCCCCCAACATACAGCTTGCCCCCTCCCCCCTATNCCCCCCTATGTACTGGTTATCCCCTCCCCCCAACATACGGCTTACCCCCTCCCCCCTATAGGAGTTAAACCCAGTTGTAATTGACCGGAATTTGTTTATTTTGATTTCCAGTTTTATATGATTTATGCATAATAAGTCCAATTTGTTATGATAATCAAAGTGATCTGTGTACATTTGAAAATTGTACAAGTCATCTTATACCCGGGATGAGATTTGAATTTGAAGTAAACTTTCATATGCAAGGATGAGTTACTTTCAAGTCAGAGTGATTTTACTTGGAACTTAGTTTCATTTAAATCCATTGTTATGGTTTCAAGGATTCTATTCTTTTGGTATAATTGTTCTAGAGTTGCATCTGTTGAACTCTTGACAAAATAATGTGGCTTTTGTCAGACTTTCAGGGGCCTTCTGCATATACTGCAAACCTATTATATTCTTCGTTAGCTCTTTGCTCTATTCTATGACAAAATATTTGAAGTCTTTTGTTTTTTCGATTGAAATTACATAAACTGTGTCTGGTACCCAAAGAAGGAGCACTTTTAATAAATCAACTTTTAGAATTTCTGATTGCTTTTTCAAGCAGCATGACAGAGCGCTAGTAATATCAAGCACTATTTAGTGCCAAATGAATAAGTTCAAGTAAAATCACTCATCTTGTTCTGGTCAATTACAACTGGGTATAACTTTATCTTCTATAATAAATGATGGACAACAGACGACTCAAGTGTATGTGTGGGTATGTGTGGATAATTCGTTTGAGGCATGCCGCAAAGCTTTATCAAGGCATTCTTTGAAGTAATCATAACACTATATTTATTGATTGACTCTTAATTCCATCTAGCCATTGAAAAAGAAATATTTCTAACATGCAATGGTGGTTCATTTTTGGCCATTACAAGCCGAGATTCCTTTCTGCATTTGTGTGGTTTCACTGAAACAGTAACATTGACGAGAAATCTCATCTTTTCAATGATCCAGATGTCTCATTTTTCATTCAAGTTTTTTATTCCCACTTCCCATTAATGTTGATATTGAACCATCAATGCAGATCTCATTTTTCATTTCTGGTTTTGATTCCCATTTCTATTATTGTTGATATTGAGCCATTGATGCAGATCAAAGTCTTGTAGTTTTTAGTGCCCAAGTAATTTGCAGCATGCCTCAAACGAATGTAATGATTGGTATGTGTAGTTCACCCCTCCCCCCTCGTTTCAATATTTTTATTTTCTCAATAGTCACAGGGAACATATTGTATGGGTGGGGGTGGTGGAAGGGTTTGCTTGGTTGCTGGTATGCCTTTACTACTTATCATATTATATAAATCATGATCAAAGTAAAATAATTTACATCACAAGAGAACAACCTGAACAGGAAAGTAATCTTTTTTACATACAAATGAGGATGACAGCAATAAACCCATGTAATTCAAAAGGTAGCATTTAGTCTCACATAAGTGCATGTTGATTAAATTGAAATACACTGTTGGCTGCTGGTGTTCTAGAAGTTCTTTTAATTTCCAATAACTTCCATCATCATGATGGCCATGAAGCAGGTTTCCTGGGTTTATTGCAAGACCCCACATATCTCAAGTGGATTCATTTCTTTTAAAAAGACACGATTGTGAACACATACACTGTACCAAACAATATTGTTTCTCATTTTCAACTTCTAGCTTTTCATTCAGCTATCTGTAGCATCTAACTTTAACACAGGATCCAATACAATTTTCGAGACAATTTTTTGACAAAGTGCCAATCTGACTGAAGAATTTTAGACTGGTGGTTCAATATCCAATTTCCAGTGGCCAATATGATTATACTTATCCTGGTGCAGTAAATCTCACAAATCCTAGTTTCCATTTCTTCCAAAACAAAATTCTTCTCTTTTCTTAAAATTTCCGACTGAACTCTCTTCCATTTATCAGTCATTCTTATCTGTATTGTACTTCTCCTCAGCTATTTTTTTTCAACATAATTATCTGTGATTTTAAGAAACTTGAGAATATTTTGGTACTAAAATAACCATTTATATAATCAGTCATCATAGAACTAAGCAGCAATATTGGTGTTATCATGTCATTCAACCATTTTTAAATCAATGTCCTAGACTACAATTTCAACTAAAGACAGATAAAAGTAGCTACAAGACATGTATTTATCTAAAGAATAAATATTTGGGCAAGAGATAAAATAAAATAATGCTTAAGGTGCATACTTTACAAGAAGCTGGTTCATCAAAATCCCACATCTTTTTTTTTCTTCAAATTAACGTTATAAAAATTTCGGGTATTAACAAAACCAGAAACAGTGGCCATTGAATGTAAGCAGAGAAGTGTGTTGTACTAATATCATTCTGCTACAATTCCTTAAAAAATAACAAATACTAAAAAATTATATAATTCACAAAAAAGAAAAAGCTAGGTTATAAATCTTTGTTCTGCATGCGAAAACTCTAATAACTCACCAAACAGGTGCGTAACTTGTTATTTCTATATTTTAAATAACTGCAGCTGTCTTATCTACGGACTCTTTGATATTTTAGAGCAAATAAACCAAAGATATTGACACTACCAGGTGATTTGACATCCAGGCATGCAATGCATTGTTTGTCAGAGTGAAAATTTCCAAGTATTTTCTTTGATCTTACGTCACGAACTAAATATTTTCCACCACCAACAACAAAATATGCTATTTCTAAAGATATGTGGTGTATCTTTCCACAGATTAGTTTATTTTCTTTAATTTTCAGTAAAAACTATAATTGAGCCAAAGACCTGGAACTAGAAAATATTGGGCTAGGAAAGAAGTGTTCGCTGACTGGCTAATTCAATCAGGCTAAGAGAAAAGAAATCACCTGGTAATGCAGGGCTTAAAATAACAGCGTCAGACAATGTCCAGCCAGAATTAGAACCTGTCCAATCAAATCTTTCCCTTACTGGTCAATTTGACCAGTAACTATCACCCAGAAATGAGGTATGAGTAGTGAGCTAAAATTAAATTGACTGGCGACTGACAGGCCCATTTTTTAAAACCCTAAAAATTATAATACAGTACCTTAAGAGTTTCATCCAGCATCAGTTTATCATCAAGGTACCATCTTGGGTACGAAAATTATAGACTGAAAATGCTATAAAGTGTTATTATTTAATATTAATTTGTTTGGTCTCGTCTTTTTTTTGTAGAAGGTAAAAGAGAACACAACAGTCAGGAAGCATGTCAAAAAGCAGCTAAGCAACTATATATTAAAAAGTGTGAACATTAAAATTATGACATCTTGCTTGCACTGTAGAATAGACCATTTTTGAGCTCCAAATTAATGCTCTGTTCCTTGATTACAGACTCATTTCCACAGTGTTAGCCTTGTATCCATGTATAAATATTCATGAATGCCAACAGTAAGGTAAAGAATGCACACCTTTAACAATAAAAACACTTCAAAACGTGACAGACCTTCACTGGAACATGTGAATATTCTGCACAAAATTGAGGCTAACCCTGTGTAAATGCGTCTGTAATCAAGAAACATAGCAGTAATTTGGAACCTGAAACTGGTCTATTGCTGTTAAGCCATTTGCTTTATATTCAACTCCATATCTTGAAGCAACAAATGAATTTACTTGCCCCAGGGGGTTCACTGGCATTAATATAAGGAGAGTAGATGCCAATATGGATTAAATGGTGCTCTCTAATAACCTACTAAACCTCTCTTTGATAGCCTATTATTCCCCTCACTTCCCATTACAGAAAAACTGAAGCCACTACCCTTTTTGCATAAACACTCCCCCACTCAGAATGCATCTTTTCAGGCCTTAAAATAGCGACCAGACATTGGACAATGTCCGGCCAGAACTGGGAATTGTCTGGTCAAATCTTTGTCTTGCTGTTCATTTTGACCAGTAACGTTGAGCCAATTTAACAAGGTATGACTAAGCTAAAACTGATTTGCTCCGTGATCATGACCAGCGACTGATCGGCCATTATTTTAAGCCCTGATTTTGTATCAAGAATAGCTGACATCAACAACCATCATTCATCAAGGTCTGGTAGGAATATGTTGAAATACCAAAGGCTACAAGATATTTTTTCTTTATCATCAGTTAATATTGATTGCTATCAGAGTATTACTGATAATCACTGTCTTTTGTGCTATCAAGATCCACAATACATGTTGCAGCATGCTTTGTTTGAAGATGATCAACCCATCTGTGGTTGGTCATCAACTCTCATATGCTAACACCTGTCTACAGTGAAATACTTACCTCTGCTGTACTTCTAGATTCAATGAATACAGGATACAGGATACAGTAACTGATACATGTAAGATATCACCACAAGACAATAGAGGGATATAATATTTTAATTAATTATCTAACATAAAAGGGCACCAGAGGGTTCACTTACAGACAGTTGTTTGACAATTAACAACCATCTTACGGTATTTTAATACCTGTTAAACCGCCACAAAAAATTATTGCACACCTAAGAATGAGTATGACAATCAATCATAACTCAGTTGTAACTGTCCAGCTTGAAGTCTTAATGTTTAAATTTTAGAGAGTATGTGGACCGCGTGGCACTAATGAAATAGTAGAAGATAATATAGGTAAGTTGTAGTGCTTGGGAACGAGGTTATTCCGGGCGAAAGCCCTTGGAATTRAATTCGGAAAAATTAGTTTCCGACCTCGCTGGGATTCGAACCCACGACCTTCGGAATTGTACTACCGATGCTCTACCAGCTGAGCTAGAGGTCAGACTGAGAGCAGGCCGGGGTGAAATAGATGTTAGGTCGCGGTAATTATGATGCAAAGATTAAATTTTAAAGTTTAAATTTTAGTTTTATTTGTATGAATTCACCATAATTATCACTATTATATTTGTGGTTATAATAAATATCTTCTTCAGCCTCCTTTTTTAAAAATTTATTTTGCCAAGTTTTCAATGTACACTACAGATTCAAAATATTTAAACTCTTAGACATTTAATATTAACCCAGAATCCAAGAGATATTTTTATATGGTCATGGCTTTATTCTGTTTAAATACTGAGCACTCTATTATCTATTATAATCTAATTATTATTATCCAATGGCATATAAACCCAAAAAATTACTGGCACAAAAAATAAACAGGAAATGTTTTTGCACCTTTTGTGGCATCTTCGCTATTGGCTACTTGCTGTAAGATTTCAAGGTCGCCAAAGACAAGACAATAGCACAACAGTTAGCTATTAATGAAAATTGAAGTTCTTAAAAAGGATTTTGAACACTTGAAATCCTAGATAGTGAAAACCAACTCCAGCTGCAAAATTATGAAAGTATTCAGTGTCTCGGCAATGAGTGACAACAAGAAGAAATTGATAAGTTTGAAGATCAGTTCAACAACGTATCTTAGCTTTAGATGAAAACAGCAAGGACCAAAGAAGCAATTAAATCCATCAAGCGAAACCTTAAGACACAGGTATCACAGAGTCTGTGTGATACTTCCAAAATGTGTCTCGTGTATAAAGTAAAAAATGAACTCTGTCTTTTATATATCCAGAATATATTTAGGAAAAATAATACTCACTCCAACTTAAGGAACGCTGACTTCCAAATACCAAGGTTTAATACCACTACTTATGGTAACATAGTCTGAGTTATCTGGGTCTATTAATATTGGCAAA